GCAGCTTGGCTGGGCGCCAGCCTGCCGAGGGTGACTCGCTCCATTGCCCCTGTCGCTGCGCTGTATATCATCTTGGGGGGGGCCGTGCTCGGCTTCAGGCTGCCCCATTGCGCAGAGCCAGGGGGGTTCCTGCAGGAGAGGCTCCCGGCTCGCTCCGCCGCCTCCGTAAACAGGAAATCCACAAGCAGCTCCGATCTCCTTTTCGGGAGCGAAGCCACACAGGGCATTCCTCCCCCTTTACTCACTGTTCTGCAAACCCCAAATACCATCCCCGTGACGGCACGGCTGCTCTGGCCACCCTACCCCAGTGAACACGCCTCGTTCCTCTCCAGGGCTGGAGCTGGAGGTGCGAGGACGTGGTGGAGGGGCTGCACGTGGTGGGCTCTGGTTGCGTGGCCAGGAGGAGCCAGCATCAAACAGGGCACTAGGAATGGAGAAAACTCCAGTGGCCCTATAGAAAGATGAGGGGATGTGTGGTCGGGCATCCCATTCCAGCGAGTGGTGCCTTGTTGCATGGTGCCAAGGGGTGTTCTGGATAGTGAATGCAGAAGTAAACGCTGAAAATGCTTTTTAGAGATATATACATATATGAGACATGGAGTGACCGAGGGGTTTCTGCTTCCCCAGGCTGAGGCTGAAGTGGCTTCTCTGAACCGCCGCATTCAGCTGGTGGAGGAGGAGCTGGACCGAGCCCAGGAGCGCCTGGCCACCGCCCTGCAGAAGCTGGAGGAGGCTGAGAAGGCGGCTGATGAGAGCGAGAGGTGTGATAGGAAGGGACAGCGGGGGTGGCATTGGGTCATCACTGATTGCAGGCAGCCCCCTTGGTTTCGCAGTGGGGTCCCTCTGCGGGTTTGCGTTGGTTTTCCTGCAGACCCCGAAGGGAGAGAGCAAAGCCACAACACAGAGAAGTCCCCCAGATACAGGCGTTCTTAAAAAGGCTTTGAAATTTCCAGGGCACCCATAAAATCCTGAAAAATCTGCTCCAGTGTTAATACAAATACCAGGCTGTAACCAAAGCCAGAGGGTGCTTGGAGCCTGTTTTCTGCCCCAGAGTAGCTTCCTATGCTCAAGGGCTGAACAACAGCCCGGGAGGGGACATCTGTGCCTGGGAACCAAAGTTAGCTTTTGAGAACGAATCAGCCTCGTTCAAACAAACAGCCCTGCAAAGTGTGTTGCCCCATCCTTGCAGCAAGCAGGTTTCCCAGGCAGGAGCCGGGCAGGCAAGGGCACTCAGGTTGTATGGGAGTGCCCAGACGTGTCACAGCATTCCTGACAGTTGCGTGAGCTCTTCCTTCCATTGCCAAAGACCAGTTTGAGCAACAGCATCTGAGCGAGAGGAGTGTCCACAGGAGTCCCTGCCGCAGGGATTCACAGGGGTTTGGTGACCCCTGTTTGTGAGCATCGCCCCTGAATGGGAAAAGGCTTTGCCACAGGAGGTTTTCTAGCATTTCGTAAAGGTTGCTGGCCTGTCAGGCTGCTTTTGTGGACATTGCGGCTGTCTCATCCTGGGCTGCACACATTTTCCCCCCCAAATGATGGGTTCAGGACCTGCCTAGTTGAGAGGCACTGTAGCCACATCTCCTCGCTCTGGAACATGGCCCTGGGGCCAGCTCCGCTGCTTCAATTGTGCACAGGAGCATGCTTGGGGTACCACTGGTGTGACCCTACTGCATGGGGTGGCCAGCGAGTGCCAGCATCCCCATGTGATGTCCCATGTCTCTGGAGCTGGCGGATGGGTACAGTGAGCAGGCAGGAGGTGCAGGTGCCACCTCAACCCACGGCAGTAACATCTTCTGGCTTGGGCTTTCCTCAGAGGCATGAAGGTCATCGAAAACAGGGCCATGAAGGATGAGGAGAAGATGGAGCTCCAGGAAATGCAACTGAAGGAGGCAAAGCACATAGCAGAGGAGGCTGACCGCAAATACGAGGAGGTGAATGCCCACGCCCCCTTCTCCCAGTCCTGACCCCCTGGCAGCACCTGGGGCTGCCTCCTCGCAGCCCTGTGCCCCCAGCCGGGGCAAGCGCGGGGCTGACATGTGCCTCTTGCTGCCGTCGACAGGTCGCCCGCAAGCTGGTCGTCCTTGAGGGAGAGCTGGAGCGCTCAGAGGAGAGGGCAGAGGTGGCGGAGAGGTGAGTGGGGCTCCCGGCAGGCAGCGCGCGGGGGTCCCATGCAGCCCTTGCCCCAGGTCCCTGGCAGCCGTGGGGATGGGGATATCTGCATGGGGACGGGGATGTCCCTCCCTGGGAGCTGCAGTCTGCCATCGGGGTGGTCCCTGGGCTTGCAGGCTGGGGGTGGGGGGATGCCAGGCCACCAGCAGCACATCCTTGACCCTGTTCTCTGCTGTCCTCCCCCGGGGTGCCCCTCTTCCACCCCAGCCGAGTGAGACAGTTGGAAGAAGAGCTGCGGACCATGGACCAGACTCTCAAATCCCTCATTGCCTCAGAGGAAGAGGTACTGGGGCAGGGGCGCGGGGCGACGTGCAGCAGCCCCCCTCTCTCTGTTGCTGTCTCTCAAACCGTGCAAGCCACCTCTCTCCTCTCTGCACCGCTAGTTCCGCCACCGACCTCCCCTTGCCTCCCCCTCCAGTGGGCGCAGGCTGGGCACGCTCCTCCATCCCTCCATGCCTGCTCTCCTTCTCGGTGGGGCTGGCAAGAGCCCAGCCGGCAGTGATGCACGGGGCGTCCATTTGAGGAGGCACGAGGAACGGATGAACGGATGCGTCCCAGCAGCTCCTGCTCGCAGCATCTCTGCTCCTTCTCCACCTGCGCTGAGTTTTCTCCTCTCTCAACTTGTTCTCTCTCTTTCTTTCCTCCTTCCCCGCACCCGCTTTTTCTGCTCCCCCCTCTCTCCTCCACCTGCCCCTTGGCCCTGCTCCCCCTCCTGGCGGCCCCTACTTGGGATGTAGTAAATGTGGTGACCTAGAGGAGGAGCTGAAAATTGTCACCAACAACTTGAAGTCCCTGGAGGCCCAGGCTGACAAGGTAGGACCCGGCGGGGCTGCTGGGGCTGGGCAGAGTGCTTGGGGTCTGGGGGTGCTGGGGTCTCCTGCTGGGGTGAAGGACGGCGGGAGGTGTCCCATGGGGCTCACAGGCACCTGTCTCTTTCTCTGCAGTATTCCACCAAGGAGGACAAGTATGAGGAGGAAATCAAGCTTCTAGGGGAAAAACTGAAGGAGGTAAGGGGTGTGGGGCCAGCACTGCATCGGTGCAAGCGTGAGTTTGCCATCCCATGTGGGTTTTGACGCCATTATGCCCGTGTTCTCTCACCCTTCCCAAAACTACAGCGTGACAAGTGCCTGGGTTTGGGATGCCCCCATGGGGGGTATCAGCCTGCTCTGGTTTAGGGTGTGGGGGTCCACAAGGTACTTGTCCCTTTCCTTTCCCAGGGGAGGGCTCGTGGGGGGTGGTATGGGAGATGCAGATGGGGCAGATTTGGGGTGCTGTGCAGCCTGCACTGTCCCCATCATGCCCTGCCGCTCACCCTCTCCCCCCCATGCTTCCACAGGCTGAGACCCGAGCAGAGTTTGCAGAGAGGTCTGTGGCAAAGCTGGAGAAAACCATCGATGATCTAGAAGGTACAATGTCCCCGCTGGCCCTGTATCCCTCTTTCCCAGTGAGCACTTGCTGGGACATGCCCCTGGTGGGGTCGAACAGGGCTTGGCCGGGGTGAGGGGGTGGGCAGGAGGTCCGGGAGGGGGGAGGCTGGATACCGTGGTGTCTGCTGTGGGAGCGCAGAGCTGCTGGGCTCTGGGCTCTGCCCTCGGGTGGGGAATAGGGCCGCATCCCCCCCTGCCCTCCTCCACCGTCTGCCCCCCGCCTGCCCCCTGCCTGCAGACGAAGTGTATGCACAGAAGATGAAGTACAAAGCCATCAGCGAGGAGCTGGACAATGCACTTAACGACATCACCTCCCTCTGAGCCCCCCGCCGGGCACCAGCACTGCACCCCCCCACCTGCCTCTCCCCTCCCCAGCTTGGCCACTTGCCTGCCCAGCCATCCCACTGCTCTCCCTGTCCGCTCTGTCCTCTTCTGTCCTTCCTAGCCCGTGCCTGTCCGTTGGCTCCTTTGGGACAGGAGCCAGCCCGGGGTATTCCCGCAATAGCCCTCTTTGTGGGGAGAAGAGTTGTAGGTGCTTAGGGGTGTTTGGCAGGGGAGGGGAACAGCCCCTGGGACCCCCATGTGCTGGGTGGACAGTGCCTATGCAGTTGCAGGTCCGTGCCCCAGCATTGCCCAGTGGGGAACAGGGCTGTGCCCAGGACCCCTTCGCTCCAGCAGCTCCCTCCTCGACCCCCCAGCAGCACAAGCACCGGAGACCCCGCAGCTCCAGGGCCGGCGGGCCACCTGCCTCCCCACACCCCCACCAGCAAAGCCCTCCCCAGTGCTGCTTGCTGGGCCCAGGGTGGGGAGGACCTGCACAGGGGCAGTGGCACCTCCACCGCCAAAGCTCAGGCCCGGGGGATGTGTGGTGCCCAGTTGCTGGCTGAGGTTAAACCACGATGGGAAGGTTGGGTCCGGCTGTGCAGGCAGCCCTTTGCCAGGCAGGCAGCCCCCAGACCCCCGGCTCCTCCATCACCCCTGCCTCCCTTCTGTCCTTTCCACATCGCTCTTCAGTTTGCATTTCATGACTTTTCTTTTATGTTCTGTCCCTCTGGGTTACTGAGTTGGTCTCAATAAAGCATTTCCTTTCCTTGGTTTCTCCTTTTTTTTCTTCATGCCGCTCTGTCCCTCATCTCCTGCCTGTCTCACACGGGTGCTGGCAGCTGGGTGGTAGGAGGTGGTTGCAGGCAGCTCACAGCCGTGGGACTCTCGGGACGGCTGTGGCTGAGCCCTGAGCGGCTCCCGTGCTGCCAAGCTGAGTGGGACGGGGCCCTTTGCACCTCGGCCCGGGGGATGACCCCCACCAGCCCCCTAGCTCTCGTACCATCTTTCCTCATCTCATGCCATCCTCTCCATGACTTTTGGCCTGAAATAGCAGGGTTAGACCTGGTCCTGTCCATTCCCTGTCCCCACTCCCAGCCGTTGCCTGCAAGCAGCGGTCTCAGCCCTGGCATCTCTCCTGCATCACCCTCCCTCGACGAAGGGGCTGCCCCTGCCCTTCAGCAGCGATCCCTAAATGGGTCCCTGATCCTCCTCCTCCTTCCTCAGCATCCTACCCTGCCCCACAACCCAGTTCCCAAATTGATGGACCCACAGCCCCGTCCTTGCGCCGGGACCGGCTGCCTCCTCCTGCCAGCCGAGCTCATCCCCGCTGCTGGCTGGGCGGCTGCAGGACTTCCAGCGAGGGCTTTGGGGAACGCTGTCTCTTTTCACTAACTCGCCTTTCTCTCTCTCTTTCCTCTGCTGCGCTGACGTCTCCGTTTTCTCTAGAGCGCTCCCGGCAGGAGGCTGAGAAAAACCGCGTTCTCACTAACGAGCTGCGGGTCATCCTTACTGAACTTAACAACTGAGCTGCCCGGAGTTCCCGGCCCCAGTGCAGCCTCCCTGCCCCGTTTCGGCCAGGCTGGCTCAGGGCTGGGAGCCCCTGCCCACTCCCCACTGGGGCTAAGTGGGGTGTGGAGCCTTGACTTATCCCCCCGGGGGTAACCGCCCTGCTTATGGGGGACAGGGAGAACCTCTGGAGCTTATTAGTTTTTCCTGGGAGAGGAATGAGGGTTTTTGTGATGTACTGGGATGCCCATGCAGTGATGGCTGTCCCCTGGCATCAGCCTGGCCCTGCCGGCGAGGGATGCAGTGGTTTGTATTGCTGCCTTCCTCCCCTTGTCCCAGGAGTCAGCGGCCAGCCTCTTCCTCCTCACTCTGGTCACCCCAAACTGTGGAGGGAGGATCCCCTCAGAGTGGGGTCCCTGCAGGCTGCTGGGAGGGCTGGGATAGGAGCTGGGGACCCGGCAGCACCCACTGCCCCAAACTTGGGGCAGGGGACAGACAAGAGCCCAGCAGGGAGCGCTGGGAGATGGGGCTGGGTGGGCAGAGCTCTCGTCCCATCTCCGTCTCTGGAGGGAAGGAGGATGCCATTTGGAAGTGAACACCAGAGGAGGCTGCCTTGGCAGCAGGCTGCCTGGCAGAGCTCATCCCTGCAGCCTCGTTAGCTCTGCTCCTTCTCTCTCTGCTGTCCTCTCTGCCCGTCCTCCCGGGCTGCTGTCTCACTCCTTTTCTTCAAGGAGCACCGCTGGGTCATGCAGCAGGCACTGGCTCTCCTCTTTTGCTAGCCAAAGGTTTGTGCACATGCCCACAGCCTGCCGGTGGTGATGCCCCGGGGCAGGACGTGCTGGTGGCTGGCCAAGGAATTGTACCCGCCAGCGGTACCTGCGCTGCGGAGGGCCTGGCCATGGGCAACAGGGCACCGTGGGAGGAGGGAAAGGCTGAAGAGTGGGGCCCGTCTGCCCCCAGTGACTAGCCTGGCTGGCCTGGCCACCCCAGCAGGTCCCGGAGCGGCTGGGCTCATCCCTGCCGGTGATGGGGCTGCTTGTGTGGACTCTGCTCCGCAGGGATGCCCCGCTCGGCTAGAGGCTGTCACCATACTGAAACGTCCATCTGTGTGCGTGTGTCTGTGCTTGGTGTGGTGTGCGTGGGTCTGGCTGCATCTGGGTACACTTGGGCTGTGTCTGTGTGTGTGGCTGGGTGTACCTTTTATTCACAGAGAGTCTGGCCAGTGCCAAAGAAGAGAACGTGGGCATCCACCAGGTCCTGGACCAGACCTTGTTGGAGCTGAACAACCTCTGAGCTGCCCTGGGGAGCCCCCGTCCCTCTTCCCTACCCCACACGTGCACCCCACTGGCACGCTCAGGACGTCATCAGCTGAACTGCGTCTTGGCCAAATCCACACATCCATTGAGAAGGGAAGCCCTGCAGCCTTACACCGTGGCTCGGGGGCGTCTTGTCTGTGCACAGCCTGACTGGCTCTGTCCTGTCTTCATGTCCAAATATTAAAGCAGTTTGACAAGATGGATGGGTGCGCTTGGTCCTTGTGGGTAGATGCAGGCTCTGGGAGGCGTGGTGGGGATCTCCCTGCCCAGTTTGTGCAAGGAGGCTCTGGAGGGGCTCGGGTCCAGGGTGGGTATGGCCGGTGTAAGGATGTCCTCTGCAGCCACGGGGGGCTGGGAGCAATGACGCACACAGCTTCGGCTGCCTTCCCTCGTCCCCATCGCTTCTTTGGGATGCACAGGAAACCTCCACCTCTCAAGCTCAGTCCAAACTGACCATCCTCTTCAAGTGCACAGTGATAGACATATGTCATTGGTGTGTCCTTTCCACAGCCAGCATGTTACCTATTTAGGGAAGCCACAAGGTCTTTGACCTCTCCATGGAGTCTGCTTCATGGTTCATGTTCGAGCATGCATACAAGCCTGTGACCATGCACGCACACATTACTAGTTATCAGGGTCTTCTCCAGGTCTGTGGTTAGCTGCTTACCCCACGTACTAGTTGCATTTTCTATTACCAGTTGCTGAATGCCTGCCTGAGGGACAGCTGTATAAACCAGCAAATATTAATGCAGTAGGCAACCACTTCCCAAAGCATTCAGGAAGTTTGCTCCTGGCTTGCTGTATTTTCTCCAACACAAAGAGAAGAGCAGCAGGATGTGCCTCATCGCCATCACCAAAACGGACTGGATTCCCTGGGGATGCCCAAAGTCATGATCTAGTCCTGCCCTCCACTTCGGGCCCCTCTGCAATGTGTGCCAAGCCCTGTTGTCTCACGCTATTTGGCAGATATCCCCCTACAAGCACAGCCTCATGCTGCCAGGAAACATAATTCATGCTGACCCCTTGCTGAGCCAGGCCATCGCCCCAGTGAGTAGCCGGCAGGGATAGCTTTCGTTATCCGCTTTCCTTTATTTGCTGTGCCTCTCAGCTCAGGAAAGGAGGGCGGTGAGATTGCATCTCTTTCCTGCCCAGGTGCTGCCGGCCTCCTGCCCTCCCCCTGGCCCGGCACCTCTGGTTTGTGGCTCCGAGACCTTCTCCTACAGGGAAAAGGGCTCCCCTTGCATGGGGTGCTCATTTTCTGGTTGTCCTCCCAGAGCGCGAGACCCGTCGTGAGCCGCAGTCCCCACCCTGGACGTGCAGTTGGGAAGGATGGTGCACCGCTGTCCTGGCCCGCAGAGCTGGCCCTGTGCAAGGACTGGAGCTCCTCCTTCGGTCCGCCTTGCTTTTCCGCAGCACATCAGCTGAGCCACTCTGTTGTTTGGTCAAAGCACCCTCCAGGCAGGGGCTTATCTGGCTGCAAAAGGAACAAGAATGTAAAACCACCTCTTCTCCGGGACCCTGCACCCCCCACTGCAAACAAGCCTGCTCTGCGCTCCTATCAGGGTGCGTCCCCAGCACCCAGCCTCTGGGTGCCCTTCGCCTTCCTGCTGGGACAAAGAGCCCTTTCACACCCAGTGTTTTTCCCCATTAGCTGCTGCTGCCTCCTGGTTTGGACCAGTCCATTTAACTTAACCGTTTACACCCCGCTGCAAGGGCCTTTTTTTTCCCTCTGAACTTTCTGTGGTTTGGCAGTGAGATCCTGGCTGCTGTTCCTGGGTGATACTCTGCCCCAAAGACATGAACCTACCGTTCACAGTTCAGCAAAGCTTTGCATTTTCTCCATCCTCCCACCCATCTCCTTCCCCCCATGGCCCTGCAGAAAGATGCAGGCCGGGGGAAGCTCTGGGAGGCCGGGGCACTGTGGAGCTGCTGGCAGGGGAGCTCGGCCTGGAGGCACGTCTCCTCACATGCGTCACTCAGACCCACGCTGAGGACCGCAGTGCCTGTACGCTCCTCCCTCCCTCCCTCCCCCTGCACCTCTCCCGTTGAATTTCAACCTTTGGATTTGTTTATCTTGGCCTGACAGACTGAAGATCTCCCCAAAGAGCTTTCAGCCCTGGCGTGGGCTGTCACCCCACTGATAAACCACCACATTAACCTCTGGCAGCCTCTCACCTCTGCTCTCTTCTCCAGTTTTCTCATTGACCTGGTGCCTCATCTCACCTCTGAACCCTTCCTGTTCAATACCCTTTAACTACATGCTGGAAGGGAAGAGCCACACAGAGCATCACAGAGACATTTTGATGAGACATGTTGAGCCGTGCAGAGCCGGACACAGACCACCGCCACCCCCCAATCCCCCCCTGCATTTACAGCCCGAGACATTTGGATGAGGGCGGGAAAAGCCGTGCTGCCAAGCTGTGTGGGTTTTGCAGGGCTCTGGGTGATTTCAGAACAGGTCAGGTCGCCTAAAGCCAAGTGCCGCACAAAGCTCCCAGTCTCCAAATCGGTATTACTGATTTGTTGATCCCAGCAGAGGACAAGGCAGCTGGAGGAAAACGTGGACGGCCATAACCACGCGGCGCTGTCTCATTTCTGTGCAAGTTACGTACGCCCCGTTTGCAGCACCCAGTACCACACGCCCACATCGGGGCTGTGCTGCCTGAGCTGTGAGCGTGGAGCGGGCAGCGCAGGAGGAGCGTGTGGCCCCTGCCCCACAGGCTCAGGGGCTGCAGGGGGTCTGGCAGCAGCGCCAGAGCCCCCCTGGCAGTGAGGCAGGCCTGTGGCAGGGCGACAGGCA